AGATATAATAAATATATTATTGGTTTCAATGCCTCAACTTAAAAAACAATATATGAATAATCAAGATTAAGATAATATTAAAACTATAATAATACTATGCCTTTTTTCTACCAAATTCGTGTTTTAATCAAATTTGTATAATTTGATCCATTATCGATATTTTATGATTTTATAATCAAAATTTGATAATTTTGATACCATTAGAATTGTCTTATTGAAATAATTCAAATAGTATCAAAATCATCAAAATTTAATCAATATATCATAAGATATCGATGATAGATCAAATTATATGAATTTGATTAAGACACGAATTTGGTAGAAAAAAGGTATATTAAAACCTATCTATGAAGCTACTAACCTACTTCCTTCTTCTATTCACCCAACAATCGAAGATATATGCATGGTCTTTTTTGTAATAATTACATGTCTTAACGAAGCTAAAAATGAAACAAATTTAATAAGTTCATATATGTTAGGAAAAATTTTCGAAAACTTAATAAATATTGAGATAAATTGCAATCTTCCCTCCCAAAATCAGTATTGCTTGATCCATCTTCTAAATTTTTCACTTTTTATACTAGCTCTGAAAGAGATAATATTTGTCAAATAATAAATATAACTTATAAAGTTATGCTTCTCTTGATCAACAAACTACACAGGTTCTAGAATTAAATAAGCTTAGTTCTTCTTGTAATTATTTTTATAATCAATTAAAATAGACTTATAATGACATGTTAATTAGTTCTAATGTATTAAACAAATACTTAAATATATCTGATGAAAATGTAGATGTACTTATATATTGAAAGTTCAAGTCTTTAAATTTAAAATGAGTACCTCTTGTTAAAATGGATTAGGATTATCTAGTTGTTTAGACAACCAGTGTTTCAAACAAATTAGCCTTTTTACTTGCCAAACATACAATAAATGCAGTGCAAAACTATTTGGAAAATAAAAAAGTCTATACAAGTCTCTGTTTAAAAACTTGGTATGATGCAGGAATATTAAAAAATAAATTTGAAGTTTAATTAATATTAGTATACAGTGATTATACAGTGCTCAACAAAAGTATTTCTGCATCTTTATCTCCTCATGAAGAAGTTCTACAACTGTAAAAATTTCAAGAATGCTAGTACATATATTGGTTAAATTGTGTATTTATTTTTACAATTTTAGATAAAAGCAAATTTTGAGCTATTTTTTTTAAAAAAATTAAAAAATTAATTGAAATCAAAAAAATTAATATATTGTTAAGGTTTAAAGCAAAAAATTCTAAAAAATATTATATTTAAATCCAATAATTTCTGGAATAGTGATAAAAATTTGGCTTGATTTGATAAGATAATTGTTAAGAAATTAATTTTTAAATTTTGAGTTCTATTTTTAAAAATTACAAAATAAAAACTTTTTCAATCAAAACTATCTGATATTTGGTGCTTTAAATTTAATGATTTTGGTATTATTCAAATTGTCTCAATAAGACAATTCAAATAATATCTAAATTATCAAATTTGGACTGTTAGAACATGAGATATCCATGAAAAATATTTTGCAACACAAAAAGTATTAGATATTGACAAATCAAATGAGATTAAAATAAAACTCAAAACTTTAAAAATTAATTTCTCAATAACTTTCTCATCAAATCAAGTTAAGTTTTTTGTTACTACTACAGAAATCATTAATTTTAATATATTAATTTTTTAAAATTTTTAACTTAAAGCCTTAACAAAATATTAACTTTTTTTTGAATTTAATTAATTTTTTTAAATTTTTTGAATAAAAAACGGATGTTCTATAGAATAGGTGGGCAATATAAAAAATAAACTCTGCTAATGATTAATAATCATTAATAGATATTTAGTAGAATTGTGGAGTTTGCAGAGTTTGCCCACCTATTCTATAGAACATCCTAAAAAACATCTCAATTTTAGCTCTCATCTAAAATTTTCTGGCAATTGAAAAATTGTAAAAATAAATACACAATCTAACCGATGTATATACTAATGTTCTTGAAATTTTCAAGGCTGTAGCACCTCTCCATGAGGAGATAAAGGTGCGAAAATATTTTTGTTGGGTACTATATATATGTATGCATTTTTTTTTCATTGTAATACATACATACAATAAAATTGTAATAATGGAGGTTTGTAATAAAAAATTTATTATAAACCGCTAGGGTAGGACCAGTGTAGGACTAGTGTTAGACCATTTTTTGACAAGGGTGAACTAGTTTTCAACTAGTTCTGGACCGGACCTTTTATGGGACCGGACGCACCACTTAACATCCCTATAATAAAAAAAATTTTCAAAATTTAGCAATGATCGTAGCCGTTTGTAGCCGAACCGATTCCTATCTGTGGATATCTGTAGGTATCCAAGTAGCTGCGCGATATTACCTCACTAAACCTGGAACGGATAAAGTATGTCTGATTAGGAATATTGAATAATTATACCGTATTTTCGCGAAATAACAGGCATCCCAAATTAAGCTTAATTTAGGCCGAAATTTGTAATTTCACCCCTGCGCGTTATTTCGCGAAAATACGGTAATTATATCTAATTATATAGTTAAATATACATCGAATACGTATACATTTATGATACAGCATAGCTATATTGATACGTATGTTCAACACGCCGTAATTTATAGCTTCAACTTTAAAGGAGGTCATTTTCATTTTAGTCTGGGTTCAGTTTGATCCGTGACTAGAGTCTGATATGGCAAAGGCATTTTATTTGTTCAATTTTAAGTATTCAGATATCGGTCAAAAAAATTGAATAAATTCATTGAATAGTTAATTTTTAGCATATTCATTTTCGGAATTATAACGATTCCATCTTTTGGAATTATCTTTCGGGATTATAATGAAGGTGACTGACTATTCGTTGCAATCCACATTTCGATCATACTATATTGGCAAGGTAATTTTTAGCAAAGGCCCTATGTAAGAGCAATTAATAATGATCGTAGTACTGTATGAGATAAATAATATAATTGATTGGAAAATTGCTCTTTATAATAAAACATGTGGATGAGTTTTTGATTAACAAATCGAGTCCCATGACTATGAAGAAAATCTCGTGTTTCAACTATGTAGTGCAGAACTGTAACCCCCGCAGCAGATCCTCGATTTTGATTGGCTAACGGCAGAGGATCTTCAAAACTTTGGCCCGCATTACATAATTGTTTACTAATTTCTGACCGGAGTTGACTTTTTAATTTTTTCATTACAAAATAAAAATTTTTAGGTAAAATTGGCTCAGGAACATATGGGCGGATCTATTTCTGATGTGATTATTGCAAATATCACTCTGGTTGGTTAATTTATTTAATACACTATTAAATTCGGGACTTTGTAAAAGTAACATAAATTTTTATATACTGTAGTTTGAAGTAATGTTCCGAAGTTCAAGTTCGGTTCAATAAGGTTCGAGTTCAAGTTCAATTGAACCTGAACCGAACTTTAAATTTTGTAGATTTTTGAACTTGAACCTGAATTGAACTTGAACTGAACTTGAACTATAGTTGTTAGACGAAACCTCGAGGTTTCGCGCTGACGAAACGCGAAACCTAGTTCGTCTTTCGTCAATTAAATTCTTAAATGACGAAATGACGAACTGACGAAACTGTAAAGGATGACAAAACTAATAAAAGACGAATATACAAATAAATGTCATTGAAGATTACGTGTATAAAAAAATCAACGAACATGGTTTGATGATTACACACAAATCTGCCAGACGGCTTTCGTGTTCGTTTTATGCACTCGCTTTATTTACTGCTTTGCCATTTGCAATTTCACCAGACTTTCCCTTTACAATGTCCTTCGTCCCCAATGGTACGGCACCGTTTATTAGGAACTGGTTACAAGTAACTCTCGATATAAGAAACCTTCGATATAAGAAACTCTCGATATAAGAAAGATTTTTGCAAGTCTCAATTTAAAAATTCTATAATAAAAAGCTCTTGATATAAGAAAGGTTTTGACTGGACCCGGCAACTTTCTTATATCAAGATTCACTTGTATATGACACTATCATATTATATTGTAATATGACAAGTCATATAGGTCATGCAAGTATTTGACATCATCGTCCAACACTGAATTACTTTGGATTGCATTTTCTTTTTAGTATTTTGTTCTTCAGGATCAGTGAAACTAATTTTTTTATTCTAGCATAATTGTTGCATCTTTCTATTCAGGCATATAAATTTTGTTTTTTTACATTTTAGTAAATCAATATAACAGATTATTCATAATTTATTATCAGTTTATTAATCAGCTTGCCTTTGAGCAAAATAATTTTCGATGATCGGATTGCTGATTAAAGTTTCTATAAAGGATGGTCTAAAATTTTACAATTACAACCGGACATCGGCTAAATTCTTAAGAGTAAGCTCTGAGGTCTTCCCTCCGTTCCAGCCCAATAATATTTTTGGTGAATAAATATTGACATTAGCTTAGATATATGGTCTTTATTCGTCATTTTTGGTCTACATTTTCTTTTCACTATAGAATTTTTTCGTTTGTGCCTACTTTACCTTTTTGTTGATTCATTATTTCGATAACTTAATTGTTCCTCAGGCGTCATCGAAGTTAATCTTCTTCTAGCATCATTACTTGCAGTCTTGTTTAAGCGTATAATTCTTTTATGTTTTTGCATTTTAAATAAATAGAACAATTGATCAGTTTATTAATTAGTTTGCTTTTGTAAAAGTACTTAAAGTATTATCAATTCAATTATTGAATTTCTGATTAGAAATTTTACATGAAATAATAGAAAATAAAGTTTATCATGAGTACAGGGCAAGAGCTGGACAAAATTCCTAAGAGTAAGGCTCGAAGGTCTTCCATTCTGTTCACCTCCGCTACAGCCCAATTAATTAATTTACTTATTTATTGTATATTAACCTAAAAGTTTATATTAATAGATGATAGACTATATAATGCTTAATTAAAAATTTACTAGAGTTAAAATAAATATTTTTAATATTATTTATTGCATAAATCTTCAGCAGTGTAAATAGGAGCTGTTGCCTTGTCGCCCCAATTGAATTCTTTAAATTTTTGACCATAATAATTATCATCAGTAACTTCTATTAGAGAATTGGAATAGTTGGCCCATAATTGATGATCATCATATCTATATTCATTATCAGTGTATTGAGAAATGGGATCCAAAGGACCAATATTTTTATCATTAAACATTGCATGTGATACCCATCCCACAAATATTTTTGGATGTTCTAATCCTATCCCTTCTTGAATACCATTGTAGTCAAAACTTCTAACATTATCCCATGGTTCGTGCCTCCAATCATGATGTCTACTCATTATTAATTCGTCGCGATACCAAAATCCGGATATGTTTTTCCAAGTCATGATTATGCTTTCAAAATCATGATCATGCCCTAGATCTACGAATAATATATCCTTAAATCCATCTTTAGGAAAATAGAGCGTATATAAAACTCTAAAATGATCACCACACCATTTTTTAATATAATAAGTAGCTAAATTTTCATAAGTTATGTCGCCACATCCTCCTTCACCAGGAATGGGCCAAGTCTTTCTTTTTGCAGGTGGATGTTGCGTACCGTCACCAAGTATTGCATGGTCTGCTGCGCAGGTATCATGGCCTAAAGCTTTCGCAAAATTCCATTGAGGGAATCCAAATTGAACTAAATTTTCCATATCAGGAGTAGAAGGGACACCTTCATTAGCAGAGGTTTTTAATAAATTACATATAGTTAAAAAACATAGCAATACTCTAAATAAGTTATTTTGATTGAAATTAAAGGTTTTTTTAAATAATCCGAAATACATCATGATTTTAGTATTGGAAATGTAATTTATAATTAGAAATATGCGATAGATTAATCAATATACTATATATATATATATAACCTGAAAATTTCAACAATTTTTGCCCGTAGATTTATAAAATTAACAAATAAATAAATAAAATAAAATAAAATACCAAATTTGGAATCTGATAGTAGCACATATGGGCGCTGTTCAGTAGAAAAGGGAGAAAATCACGTTTTTGTAGATCACAACAATTACCCGGTGACAAATAATGTAGGTCAATTTTTTAAAATATTATTTATATAAGCTATGTGATGTGTACAATTGTGTAATGCACGTGATTTTTACTTTTTCACTATGTAAAAAACGGTGTCACACCGGGTCTGTGTACAATACTAGATCATATGTAAAACTCAAAGCCAGTATAATTTAACTTTTAATTAGAATTATAAATCTGGTTATGCTTTATTTAATAAGCCAATAAAAATTTTTTAGTCAAAAAGTAGATATCTTCCCTTTCTACTGAACAGCGCCCATATACGTATGTACAAAAAATTTCAAATTAATATATATATATATTTACTTAATTATTTTTTAATAGCATCTAGCTATTTAATCCAATTGGGTTTAATGCCAATTTAGAAAATTCGGGCTTAATTAAATAATTTCAATCCTTAATTATTATCTACTAAATTATGGTATTCTAGCTACTATCAGATTTTTTTTTGATAATATCGAACGCTTTGTGTTCGTTCTTTTTAACACCGATTTCTTCTTTATATTAATGACCAAATCAATCATTATCCATGACTGAAATATAACGTAACTTGCTTCAATTTAATCACAAATATAATAAATAACCTACGTTGTAGATCTGCAGCTTGAAGCAAAGTGTGATGAAAGTACGTTTACGTCAATCGTTAGTGCTTTCGTATTAGTAAAAATAGTAAAAATATATAGAATAATTTTGGACAATTTAGAAATTTTAGGATAGTCAAACCCAATTTTTTATTTTAAGATAATCCGAAAACCAACTTTACATGCAATAGATAAACGATATAATACAAGTTTTGGCCACCTATTTGACAAATTAACAATCAAATTCGAACATAGTAACAATCAAATTTGAACATAATAACAATCAAATTTTAGACATCATAGTAATCAATTTCGAATATCACAGCAATCAAATTTGAACATCATGGCAATCAAATTTAAACATCATAGCAATCAAATTTGGACAGTGTTATTTTGTGATCTAGTAATTTTAAATTATACAATGTTGGTACTATTCAACTTATCTTAATAAGGTGAGTCGAATGGTACCAAAATTATATGATTTGGATTACTATATTACAAGATATCACTATCTGAATTTGATTGCTAAAGATGTCCAAATTTGATTACTAGAATGTCTGAATTTGATTGCTACTATATTTGAATTTGATTACTATGATGTCTAAAATTGATTTTTATTATGTTCAAATTTGATTGTTACTATATCCAAATTTGTTAATTTGTCCGAAATAGGTGGCCAAAACCTGTAATGTAATGATAGGTTTGAGATGTTACTATATTTTGAGATCGGTTCTAAATAGCATAGTTAAAAATCCACCTGATTGGCTGTCGATCCTTGAAATCTTATTGGCTGCCTATAGTAAACGTTCTATATG